TTATCATCATGTAGTTGAGAAATAATTACGTTGTGTTTTTCCTCTTGTTGCTAGATTTATTAACTTGTGTTCCACAGTTCTTTGCAAGAAGCAGCCAACCCACCAAGATATAATCCTTTAATATACACGAATCTACATCAGAAAACCCCTTTAGATGTTTCTTGAGGAAGGTGGGACATAAAATCTCTAACTTCCATGTAAAATCTCTTGAATAGAGACTTGAGTATCTCCTTCTTGATCAACCTTTCTTCTGAACTATTTTCTCTCAAAACACTTAGATGTGCCTTTATGAGTGGAATTGAGAATTTCCCAAGTATCTCTGACCATAATACAAGTGATAATGTGTATGAAAAAAACTTATCAATTATATTAATTATGGAATTGACAACTTCAAAGTTACAAAGAACCAACTCATACTCTATTCGTCTATCTCCTAAGCACTAGGATTCTCCTACACTGACAAAGTCTCAAGTTCTGTTGTCCGTTGATTTCCAGAATGCTATCTTCTAGCCTTCCAAAAAGAACAAATAATACCAGAAAAATTCTCCTTGAAGCTCACCGAAAAAATAAACCAGAGTGCATGCTCTGATGCCGATTAAAATTCAGGAACTTGCATCACATGTTAATACTGATGTCCCAACATCAAAACACAATATCGATACAGATGTTACGACATCTATTGACAGACATAACAAATATACCAAAACTATAACTTATGCAAAAAATGAATTGCAAAACGATAAATAACACAATTGATTGTTAACCCAATTCAGTGCAACATCACCTACTCTGGGGGCTACCAAGCAAGGAAGGGAATTCACTATGACAATATTAGTTCAAAGCCTAAACAATCTCAGTTTATAACTTCTCACCTAATCACTATCTTGTGCAACTTATATCTAGAAACCTTCTAGATATAAGACCCCCCTCTCACTTCATACCAATCACCTCAGTGGTAAAATACAGTCACAATCCCAGTGACATAGAATAAAAAACCCAAATAAAAGATTAAACTTACAATAAAACAATACTTAGTTTTGCTTAAAAGCTTCAACTAAGAACAATACTCAACTCTTTACTTAAAAGCTCATGAGTGAGAAGAATAATTTGATAAACGATAAAGTAATAATCAGTCTACCACATTGTATCAAAAGATACGTGGGTGACTGATGAGTGATAAATTGTTCTAAATTAGAGTGTGGATAATTAGCACTTATCAACTTAATTTGTTTTCTTTTTATCAATAAACTTCAACTTCAGTGTATATTCAGTATAATTTACGTTATAATGTATATATTATGTTATCGTGTAAATATCATTGAGTTTAATTTATTTTGTCTCATTTTTGCAGGTGTTAAAGCATTGATATTTATGCATTGTTAGATAGAATATTGAATAAGCTTTCTAATGCTTCTGACTGTGCGTGGATCAAAGTTACGGATCTCAAGTTATGGCTGAAATTGTGTTGGTTTTTAAATTACTGTCAGTTGTCGCCCCGAGCTCGTCGGGGCAACCAAAAACATGGAAAAATGCAGTTTTGAGCGCCAGGCAATGCTTTTTGATTTCCGGGTGATGCAGACCAGTCATAAATGTATAAATGTATATTTAGGGGTAAAAAAACATTTTTAAGGATGATTTTGGGTATTTTTGATCCCAACTCCACTAACCTTCATTTTTTGATAGGAGATGCTAGAAAACAATAATGACACTTGCATATGGATGATCCGGAGTCAGATTTCTCATCAATCGATGCTGACAACCCGTTAGATGTTTGTTTTTCTCCATTTCTTCTCTATGTATTTCTCTATTTGTTGGGTTATGTTTGTATATTTACTTTGAATATGTGTGTATTTATTGATCATGGTGTTGTATAAAGCTTGTTTTACAAATCAATCTTGATGTCTTCTTTGATCTTTTTGCTTTATATTTAGATTTGGATTGCTATAAACATTTACCTCACAAGTATTGATTAGGAATGAATATCTATTAGTTTCTAGAATCTAGAGATAAATTTAGAGCTAATAATCACTGTGGGTATCAGAGCTTAATGCCTCTATGTTGTTTGTGTTTTGCTAAGAGATCGTCAGCACGATTAATACAATTGTCTCTAACTTTGCATTAGACATAACCTCTATTGTGGAACATTTCGAGAGATACTTGATGATTTTGACGAGTATTGTAGGTTGAGTATAATTGATCAATAAGTTTAAGTTTGTGACGAGTAATGTAAATTCATGCGGGATAGGTTTCTCCCTTCCGAAGAATGTATTTATTTTCTATTGATACCTTTTACCTTTCCTTACAACCAACCCATTAAACCCAAACTCATTAACGAGAGATTGTCGAACAACAATTCAGTAGCACTAATCCCTGTGAAGGAGATATGATATACCCTGTAAAAATACTTATTTTTGCTTGCCGCTTTACCGCTTCAACAATGACTTATAAAACATAAAAGACTCTCAAAACCTAAGACTTTAGACGTCCCCTAATTTTACAAATTTGAAAGGTAAATTACATTAGGTCTAAGTTTCTCTTTAAATACTCCTCAGTAGTCCATGAGCTTTAAAATCTTCACCTAAATATTTCTTGATCCACAAGTTTAGGGATGCACCAATTATGCAAAAAAATCTCATTAAATCTTGGAACAAAATATCAAGTTTCTTAAATTGTCTCAACATCCAATTTTATAAACCTATGTACAATTGGAGATTATATCACTTGTTCCAGATTAAAACTTCTTGACCTGCGAAAATTATTGAGATATATCCAAAAGAAATATCACAAAATCAAATCAAATATGTCAAGATTTAAATTAACATGTACTGGTGTTCTAGTTCAGCATGTCACAATATTTTTCAGAATATATGTCTTCAATGCAACCTTCACATTTTGCTCTATCAGTTTGATCAAGATGTTATGACATCTTGCCCAACATATATCATGAATCATGTTTTAGAAAAATTACTGCCAACTATGGATCTAACAAATATTATAACACCAAATGACAATCTAGGTTCACGTGTCTCTTCATATCTTATCTTTTGTAGTCATCTGTTCATATTTTGTTTTTAAGTCGCATTATATTACAAAATCTGAAGTTGCTTATAAAATCTCAAAGTAATCATTGACATTCACTTATAAATGTAATTATGTCTTCATTCAATTTCATGTCTTTTTAGTATTTTTAACATAGTGTGGCTTACCTCTGCGATCTGGATGAACTTATAGAAGATTCTGTGAATTGTGTGCGCTTCAATCACAGAAAATCGTAGAAATTTAAATATATAGTCTTTTGAGACATTCCTGAATTTTCTAAAATTCATTGCGTGCTAAAGTTAAATTCATTTAAACATGTGCTATGCTTTACTGATTATAACACTTAAAGTTAAGTTCTCTACTGATGTATTGTAATGTCATAAGATTCTGCATAATAACAACACTGAAAACCAAGAAGCTAGAGCAACAGAGGCATGGTATGAAGTCAAGGTGAATGATATAAGGAGTTTTGGAAATGGATTTCAAGATGGTGGAACTGTTCATTCGGCAGGAAGTGTTTGAAATGCAACTGATTACAGTCGAAGCTTTAAGCATTGAAAGTGTTTGAACTGTAACTGTTTGAACTTTTTGTATTAGATATTGGTATTGGATATCTATAAGTTGATACTTAGGCTCATGATATTTTTCTATTACAAGTTGTTCTTTCTATATCCAAATATAGCTTATAAGTAAACATGTAGAATGCACTTTGATTGCTTAGCATAATTATGGGTCCAAGATTATCATGCAAGTAAGCAAATAATATATTATTTGAAAGAGCTTTCAAAGTAATATTTTTCTACATGTAAGACATTTAGCCCGAGCACCTATTGCACACTTGATACATTTAGCTGACATATTTGACTTATTGCAGATTTAATACATTGCCTGAGCACTTATTACAGACTTGATGCATTACAGACTTGATACATTTAGCTGGCATTTGACTTATATATTTTTTCTTACCCTGTGAACAACAAGTGTACTACGTTTATGGCTTTATGCTATTGGTTTTTCCGTTTCTCGCCATTGTTACAGTTTGTGTGATAATTGTCTTAACTTATAATTAGCGCTCTGTTTAACAAAAACAAATATAATGTATCTCTAAATAGTTTCCTTCAAAAAAAGACTGATGAATGTTTTATAAGTTGAACTGTTGACAAATAATTATTCAGATCTCCTTAAAAGTGTGCAAAGTAGAATATTAACATCACAATGTCTCTGGTGTGGTGATTAATTATAACTTGGTTCATGGTTAAGCGTGGATGTGAATATATTATAAATTTTAAATTTATGTTATGCAATTATTTTATTCATTTGCGATGAATAAGGTACTCTAGAGGTGTGCGTTACACCTTTATAATATTGTTTAAGATATGAATCAACAAGATTGTAATAAATCTATTATAATATACATACAAATATATTTGTATATATAATGGACAATGAAATCTATATATTGCTGAATCAAATTGATTTTAATAGATTATTGAGTATGTATATGTTTTAATTTTTTTTGAAACATCAAACCTATGATTATTTACAATTTTTTAATTTTAAAATTTTTGTCCCGTACCTTACCTAAATATACATACTAATTTAATTTATTTGCACTAATATTTTATGCTGCCGTTAAAATTTTAAAAATATTTAACTATAATAACAAAACATATTAATTAGTTTATTATTTTATTATTATTCATAATAAAATAAGTATTAATTATTATTATTATTATTATTATTATTATTATTATTATTATTATTATTATTATTATTATTATTATTATTATTATTTGTGAGTGTAAATCCAAAACATTTGTTGTGTATTGAGATTCAGATGAGTAGTGGCGGTAGAACTGTTCTTTTTTAACACTCTCACGACGTCGTATTCACTGCACGTGCCTTTCTCTTCCAAAACCCACAAAACAAGACGCTAGGGTTCACACACAGTTCCGACGACAATGGAAGTATCCACCGCCCGTAACCAAACCTCCAAACGCAAGTTCGACGACACCGTTTCATCCTCATCCAACGCCGTCGATCTCTCCCTTCTCGAAGCAATCGAGAGATCCCAAACCACCATAGAAGCAGTCGACAACCGAACCCTAAAGAAGCTCGTCCTCTCCTTCGAACGCCGCTTGAAGGAAAACATCGAAGCACGCCTCAAGTACCCTAACCAACCCGACCGATTCGCGGATTCCGAATTGGAGCTCCACGAAGAGCTTCACAAACTCAAAGTCCTTGCCGGAGCACCAGAGCTTTACCCCGACCTTGTTAGTCTCAATGTCGTTCCGTCGATTGTCGATTTGCTTAACCACGATAACACCGATATTGCTATTGATGTTGTTCAGCTTCTTCAGGATTTGACTGATGAGGACGCGCTTGACGAGAACGATGAGCCTGCTAGGGTTTTAGTTGATGCTATTGTTGATAATAGCGCGTTAGAGCTTTTGGTGCAGAATTTGCACCGTTTGTCGGAGTCTGATCCTGATGAGAATGCTGCCATTTATAATACGCTTGCTACGATTGAGAATTTGATTGAGGTGAAACCTGCTGTGGCGGAGTTGGTTTGCGAGAAGACGAAGCTGTTGAAGTGGCTGTTGGGGAAGATTAAGGTGAGGGAGTTTGATGGGAATAAGCAGTATGCGTCGGAGATTTTGGCGATTTTGTTGCAGAGTAGTTCTGTGAATCAGAAGAAGCTGGGGCAGATGAATGGTGTGGATGTCGTGCTTCAGGCTGTGGCGATGTATAAGTCGAAGGATCCTAAGAGCTCGGATGAGGAGGAAATGGTGGAGAATTTGTTTGATTGTTTGTGTTGTTTGTTGATGCCTTTGGAGAATAAAGAAAGGTTTGTGAAAGCGGAAGGGGTTGAGTTGATGATTATTATTATGAAACAGAAAAAATTGGCTTATGCTTCTGCGATAAGGGCTATTGATTTTGCAATGACTAATTACCCTCCTGCTTGTGAACGTTTTGTTGATGTTTTGGGATTGAAGACAGCTTTTGCGGCTTTTATGGGTAAGGCAAGTGATACCGCTTTTTCCACTTTTGCCAATTTTGTAGAACCTTCAAGAGTTTATCTGTGGTATTGTGCGATGTTATTGTTATCTTATAAATGGACTGCACTTGTTCTAAAAGGGTTGTATTTATTGTGCATAGATTCCCATCAGCAAGAAGAACAAGAAAGAACGGTACCAGGAGGAGTTAGAAGAGCGCATTGTGTCTCTGGTTGCTTCATTATTCGGTAAGCAGGCAAGTCAAGTTTCAATTGAGTTTTAACATTGTACATGTACGCACTGACATTCCATTGTGCTTTTCCCTTATGAGTTATGTGATATTGAACTTCACTGTAGCATATACTCTACCAGTGGAATCTTGAGTTGTTTTGGGAAAGAGAGATTAACTTGTTTGAAATGAATGGGAGGGAAAATAGACAAGCTTATACTTTTTTTTTTCATACAATGAAAAACTATTGAACTTTCTAATACAACGATGGATACAACATGTACAGTACCCCTTGAATTGTATGTTGTCAATAGCCCGCTATATAAGAATAGCCTAGCCGTGTTAGGGTTCGACGCTTGCTTTTGACCTGCGAGCCGCTGTCTGTATAGTAGCCACAAATCGCTGTGTGTTTGCTATTAGGGTTTTGGGGAAAAATTCCCCAATCCTATTTTTTTAAAACCGTTGTCTTTTTTTTAGGGTAGAAATGTCAATTTGTACATTTTTAATGGTAATGTTTTCTTCTTCATTCTATTATGTCCTTGCTCACAAACAATCGTTTTGTTCTTCTCTCCACTTTTAGTTCTGTTCTGTGACTTTGCATGATTGAACTTCTGTCACGTTCTTCTCCTTCTCTGTTTACGTTTTGTACTCTAGGTTCTTTAATTATATTATGTATGATGGTATCTTTAGTTTTGTTTTTTTTTTGTTTGAATATTTATGTAAACTTTGTACACTGATTGAAGTCTTTGCATTAGCGGCTATCCCGCTATTGCATTTTAGGAGGTCTGAAAAATCATAAATACTAATACTTTGCAAAGTGACATTATGTGCATCCATGTGTGAATTGAAATATGCATTAGTTTGACGAGATGTGTGTATACCTTAATCTTTTCTTGCTTAGATGTTGAACTTCAGTATTCTATATCTTCCCAGGTGGTATCTTGAGGGGCTCTAGGAGAGAAAGATTATTAAGTAAATTTGTTGAAAACGAATGCGAGAAGATAGATAGGCTAATGGAACTATACATCAGGTCGGTCGATCTTGTTCTCTTGTCCTTATGCCTTATGATGTTTACGCTAGCTGAACTTAATTCATTTGTTCCATCCTGTATTAATTTAAAGTTAGTACACATCTTTGCATGTATATAGAATTATAAAAGTCATGAAAGTAGGAATCTTGATTTAAAGCTTATTTTTCATTTGAGCACACTGAATTTTTGTCCCACCAGATATTCGGATAGAGTCAAAGCTGAAACTGAACGGTTGGATCAAATTGAGTTTGATGATTTGGAGGTAGTTTACCTATTCTGCTTGCATATATCAGATTAGAGTAACTTCTTTTAATAGCAAAATCTAATAACTGTATTTTATAGATGGATGAAGATGAAAAGTACAACCGCAAACTAGAATCTGGACTTTATACTCTTCAGGTAAGTTTATTTTACCGACTAACCGCTTCAAAAAATAATAGTCTTTTAATTTTTTTAAAAACATGTTTGAATTTGTTCTTTATACTTGAACACCTCTATAATTATTAACCAAAAATATTTTCATGAAATTTCGTATTTATCTATTTCAAATTGCATTTGAGAAAAAAATTCTTTAAACACCAGTGGTGCTTATAATAGCACCACCTCTGTACAAGATACCCGTTTTACAGCACCTTTTATGTACTGACCAATTTATACATGATTTTCCAGCTGGTTGCTGTCATTTTGGGTCATATTTGGTGTTCCGAGTAAGTATTTGCACCTTTATATGGTAAAGTTAGTAGTTTTTAGTCATGTATGTTTTCATCGGGCCTGACTTAATTAAATAATTCATGGTTAGGCATCCACAAATGAGAGGAAGAATTGAGCTACTTCTCAAGCAGAACAAACTTAGTAAAAATCACGTCAAGGATATACTTCAGGTATATATCCTTTGTCGCTATGTTTGAACAAATTTGTATTATATATCTTGTTAGTGTCAGTTTTTGCAATTAAGATGCGTTGATAAAGTCACAATCCCAAGTCCAAGTTAAGGCTCTACCAATTTTATTTCATGATTTAATAGTGATATATTAGTCCTTTCCCACTAAATAATTTGAATATTTGAATGAGTCTGGGAACTGGGTTGTCCCTTAACAGTGCTTTGTCTTCAGTGTACCTGTCCTTTGTACTTTAATTTTCGCAATGTGATTACATTCCCTTCTCCTTAACTGACCAAGCCCAGCATCTCTGCTTATGATGTGCTTGGATACTACTATTCTATGGATTGCTCCTAGAAATCCATTATTTTGAACAAGAGAAATAACACAAACTCTAGTGGATTGATTTTTTTTTTCTTCATGTGGTTTAGGAATATCATGACAATATTGGCGATCTTGATGGACCAGAAGAGAAGGAGCGAGCACAGACCAAGATTCAAAAATTTTTAACGGCGTTATAACTATTGTAAGACTTAATAGAGAAAATTTCACTGGAAGTGATCATTAATTTTTGTTTTTGCCCCCTTTTCTAATGCATGTAAAATCTTTTTAATCCAGAACAAGAAATAGTCTAGTCAGTATAATGGAGAAAGAAACTCTGATATGTGAATGTTGTTGAGATCGTAGTTACTTACAGTTTCTGTCACAGTTCTGTTTTCCGATGTTATCATGGATAATATGTTTTCCTTTTGCCCAGAGGGGCGGTGTTTGGTCGTTAATCTTCTTCCTCCATGAAATAATTTTAGTCTGTCGGGGAAATCTTCTAGTTTTGATAGGTTACTTTAACGTCTATAATTGTGAGTTTAGTTCAGTTTGAAAACACTATTGTTAAGAGTTGCATTTAGTCAACGTCCGAGTTGCAATTTATTTTTGTAGGGATGATCAACTGCCGTCAGGGTTCTGTTGGAGAACCTAAATGTATTTAATTATATAGTATTCTTTTAATCACAACAATTAGATTAAATATGAAGTTTATTTGAAATATATGGGTAGAAAATATACATAAAGTAAAAGAATATGTCAAAACACGCCACTGAAGGGATCTGAATTTGTGTCCAGTCATGTAGAATTGTAGATTAATAATCCTACTTCCATGGTTTTTTTAATGTTGTCATACAGTCTCTGAGACTATGACTGGTATTTTAAACTCTAGAGGTCTCCGTTATAAAGGAAGCAACAGAAATGTTCATTACACATGTCCATGGGATTGGCACTGAGTCACATCCTGTCGACCTTGCAATAACGAGGTTTCATATTCTCACAGTAAACTGTTTCAAATCCTTGGATTTAGCAACTGTATATTGGATGATGTTGATTTAAAATGGTACATGGTGCACCATGTTCAGTCAAAATACTTAAACATGTATTGTTCACCCGGTCCAGGTGCAATCCATATAACTCCATTCCTTACCACCTTGATCTCCGTGGTGGCGGCCTGCCCCTGCCCCCGGAGAAACCTCTGGTATACAGATATAATTAGCTCTTCAGACAAGGATCAAGGCAAATATAACATGCTCATTATGATGTTTTTGAATGTTTGTTTTGAGTTAGAAGTAATTTACTTCATTTTCATATGTCAATTTGGTCATGAACGTGTAAACAAAAATTTATGGCTTATGTACCATATGCTTACCTAGAGGTGGTAGCAAATCTGTCTGATCTGTCTTGTAGACTAAGTTTCTTAAATGGCGATTCAGGTTCCTCGAGCAGTTCAATCTCAAGCAAGGCATCCTCAATAGCCTCAGCCAGTTTCTTGTCCTCATCGGCATTATGGAAACACCCTCTTTCCTTAGCATCAAGGACTAGTTCTTTCCATACAGTGTCACTATTTTCTAAAGTTGTTTCATTCCCTAATATCCAAAGGCAATGTCTGCAAGAATCACCCCAATTATAATCAACTTATGCATGTTATCAGAACATGCAAGTAGGATAAGTATCACATATAATATGAGTAGCATACCTAGCCCGAGTCAGTGCCACATTCGCTCTTTGCCTATTAGAAAGAAAACCTACTTTTGCATCACCATTAGATCTCACTGTGGAGATTATTATTATATCTTCTTCACCACCTTGAAAGCCATCGACTGAACGAACACTAACAGAAAAATCTGGATCAGAAACAGAATTGCTTAGCTTTATTTTTTCTTGAATTTCATACACCTGAGATTTATATGGAGATATGATTCCTATGCTAACTTTCTTCCTTGTCCTCAAAAATTCTGTAACAAAAAAAAACAGTGCATCAAAAAGAAGCGTTTTTCTTCTTTGAGAACAAAATGCAGCACTAAATTTTCACTAACTCATATAAGTGGACATTAGATAAGGAGAAAGAGACACTTGCCTTCTTCAAGGTTTCCAATAATCTTGGAGATAGCAGCAGCCTCCACTATATTCTTTGAACTGTGTCCACGACCTCGCTGCTCTTTACCCTTAGCTATGTTTATAAAAGAAAAAGAAGCATACATTTTTCCTTCAAGGAAACACCTATTATATCCCATTTCTCTTACAATAGGGGCATCGACAAGTTGCTTGTCATAGAATTCTTTATTTGGGAATAAGCTGATGGATGGATGCATCCTATACTGAGTGTTAAGAAGATGCTTCTTGTATCCCAACAATACCAACCTCTCAAACAAACTTCTTCCATATCCAGCCTCTTCATTATCCTGATAATGATAATCATATAAGAAATATTCTTTAATGATGCACTGCAGAAAAAAAAGAGGAAGAAAAGCAATTTACCTTGCTTTTGACTACTGCAGGAAGCTGTCTCTCATCACCTATGAGAATAGCATGGTAGAGACCTGGCAGCTGCAATGGAATAGCTGATTCACATTCTTTTAGCTGAGCTGCTTCATCAATAACCAGAAATTGTATCGGTGTCATTCCTTCTGCGAAAAGTCTAGTAGAACTTGATGCAGTACAGAAAATCAGCCGTGCATTCATCAAGCACAATTTTTCTGTTCCATATTTGTCAGTAACTTTTGGAAGTGAAACTGTCTTAAGAAGTGATCTTAGTAAGCCAAGACACTCTTTTCTTTTGATGTTTAACCCCCCAAGGCAGTGAAAAATGCTTTCTCCATCTGCACGGTCGTCAAGGGCTTGTTTCATCTTGGCTTTATTCAAGGAGCTTTCAAGAGATGTTAGCAAATCAATAGCTATAGGAATTTTCTTCATCTCCTCAAATGGAACTAAAGATGTTGGTAGGTGTGTATACAAGGTTTGCATGCATACCTTGAGCTCAACTCCTATGTAACTGAATCTCTGCTTAACAAATTGTTCCAATGTTATGACACTGTTCTTTTTGTTTTCCTTATATGAAAGGTATTCATTCTTCTTAAATTGCTCTAATGTCATAGGATCACCATTCTTCTCATCTTGCTTAGATGAACTATATGCAAGTTCTATATCACTCTGTTTTTGTTTTGCAAATTGTTCTAATGACATAATATCATCTGCACGAAGCTTATACAAACCAAATTGCTTTGAGGGGTCCTCAAGCAACATGATCATTGATTCTAACTGATGTTTCCATCCTGTGGATGGAGCAAAACACCTCAAAAGATTACTTGCGCGATAATCCAGAAAGATATCCTGGAGACAGCGGTAATCGTCTACTTTCATTCGAGATCTGTTGCCGAATATCACTATGTCACCAAAACCATATGTTTCGGTATTATGCTCAAGTGACTTCTTAACTAAATTCTGCAGGCGAGCAGCCACTTCCAACACTGCAGTATTAGTGGGAGCACATGTCAATGTTCTGGTTTCAAACTTGAGCAGGGAAAATAACAATGAAGCCACTGTCTTTGTTTTGCCAGTCCCTGGTGGACCCCAAATAAGTTTTATAGTTTCACTGTGATGACATTCACTCATGGAAACACAGCTTAAAACTGCATCTTTTTGGGAATCATTCAGATTCTGAGATTGGATCATGGTTTGTATTCTAAAACAAGCTGCAATATGGTTTTCCCCGGAAATGCAAAGTTGACAGTTTTCTCCATTCTGTAAAATACAATGCAATCATGTGTCAGTTACTTAATAAATTAAACATGTTTCTTGGTCTATGCCCTTCAAATGTAAAATTTTCGCTGGACTCCAACTATTAAACAATGAAAAGCTTGGTCTGAATTTAGTGATTCTTACATTTGAGTTAGCTTGCAGCACCTTTTTAATCATGTTCATGTTTGCACCTTCCAACTCTGAGTTTAAGGCTTTCCAAACACGAATATTTGTTGTCAGATTCAAAAGGTAGGTAGCATAAAGCTTTGGTGCACTGTTGCTCCTTAGGTAATTAGAGTTTATCTCCATGTTAATGCATTTAGAAGACAAAACCGAGATCTTGCCTGTACTTTCTTTTGACCCATAAACATAAGCAATGTGATAATATCTTCTAGGCCGGTTTAAGTCTTCCACAGATTTCGGTTTGAAATCTGTCAAGGCAATGAGATCTCCAACTTCTGGTTCATATGTTCCAACATCTTTTGAATCATTATTAGTTCTGTTCACTGAGATTTGATAAAACAAGAACTTGGTTGGTAGGTAGCTTTTGGATCTTTCAGGTTCACCTATCAATACCTCACAAAAAGGCGCCCGAAGCATGCCATACAAGCTCGAAGAGAGGTCACTGTGAGTTTCTTCAATCAATGAAGGAATGAATGAGCTTAAGTAATCTGATACTGACATGAATGTTTGTGGGATATTTTGCACCTGAGACATACACAATAATGTTTAAGGCTACATGTTTTGATAATGTGTGTCTTTAGAAGGACACAACAACTTCCTAGTGTTAATGCCTATCAATACAACCTCTTCTCGTCTCTCCAAGAAAATCTCAGTCGTTGTTAATAATTTAATGCTCAAATGCTCATATTTCTGATATTAGATTAATTCAACGGCTGAAATTTTACTAGATTAGATGGAAGGTCAAAAACGTATGAGAATCCAAGTACATTAAATTTATGCCATGGAGTCAATAGAAGCATAATACATGGTTTGATTAATACATTGCTACCACATAGATATATTAAGCTTATGACATTAGTTTTCAACGTATTTTTTCCGGAGATGGATTCTAAAACGAATAGTTTTCACACGAGGAAAGGAAAAATAACCTTGTTCTTGCAGAGGTTTTCATTGCGAACATCGTTGAAACTCCAAGAAAATACAATTTCTACCAAACTTGCGAGATCAATTTCATCCCTCTTAGCATTAAAACTCCTCTCCATATTTTTCTCTATTTTTATGACCACTTCTTTCTAAACAAGACAGTCTCAAAAGCATGGAGAACCAATGTCCCTCAAAGCTTCTTTTTATACATATTAAATAACCAAAACACAAGGACAAAGAAAATATAAAGAATTACTTAGACATGAAGAAACTAAATAGTTAACACAAAACTTGTTCATGAGGTATACCATAGTTTCATAGTACTAGTGATGAAAGTAAAAAGAAGATTTCATTTAATGGACCTTTGATTTATTGTCACAAAAAGTAACATGACGTACACAAGAAACGTCACAACTTAAGGAGAAACAAGTGTTGATATTGATAAAAGTGGTGTGGAATGGTTATTATAATTATAGTATAGTGTAAAGCAAAAAACACTACAGGACAAAGATACAAAGATATTTACCACTATTAGTAATACACGAATTTCTTGCGGAAAGTAGTTTGCAGGATTTACCTGCGGATTTTTCTGCGATTTAATAAATTAAAATAATTTTTTTCTGTGGAGTAAAAATCCACAAGGTATACCTGCAGATTTTGCTGCGGAATTTAGCAAGACTCGTAGGTAATTCCACAGGAAAATTTACTGCGGATTTTGCTGCGAATTAGTTTGTAGTATTAGTTTAAAATATAATATAAAATATATTTATTTTAAAATAAAGAGTTTTTTTGAAAAAAAAATTTAATACTTCCCCAAAAATAATAGGAGTTTTTCTTAAAATTTACAAACACTTTGTATGAAGGCTGGAGATTCAAGAACCAAACTTGTTTTGGTGAAAACACAGCTAAAATATTGTTGTGAGCAACATAATTGATGCAGTGGTTTATAAGTGTTGGGATAGACCTAATCTTAGGTCTCATGCTAGCATACTCTTAATGTCTTAGCCCGTGGGTTGTATTGGTTTAGTTGGATCTCTTTGATCACTTGGATTCATTGGATTTTTTTTTAATATTTTAAAAATCAATTTGAATCGGTTGGTTGAATCGGCCAATTTTGAACCGTTGCTTAATTTAATTTGGTTTGGACTAATAAAGGATTAAGTCTTTAAAATTGAAATAAAATTGCTTCAATTGCGAAAAATTAAAATAATCTTAAAATTGGGGCCGGTTTTAGTGAATTAGGCGGTTCAAAAAATCAAAGATAATTTTTTTAATGTTTTACTTCAGATTATTTCTTTGTTTAAATCTAAAAAAATTAATTATAACAAACATTTAAAATTGTATAGATGAAAAATAAAGAATAAAATTGAAAGATACGAGATATTGTATATATAAATAGAAAGAAAACAAATAATGTAACGTTCGTGGACGTGAAGTAATTGATGTTTGTCTTGAAAAGATGTGAAAAATTATACGAATAAAAAATGTGTTGCTTTAAGTTAAACAATTAGTATAAATATATAAACATTAATCTTTAATTAATTTTCTGGTTTGTTATTATATCTTATATTGCATTATTTTTTTTTTTTTGAAAATTTTATTTTATAAATTCTAATATAAATTAATTTTATTAAGAATTTTTAGCTCATGGAACCCTACAGGTCAGTAACTTCCTTCAGATTGTATAACTAGCCGGAAAACACAATCGGTGAACGCTGCCGCTAAACATAGTTGCCGGCAACTCCGTCTAAAACTATGCAGGTCAAAGTTATATCACGTTCTACAGATGAGTTCACTAGAGAAATAAGCCAAGACCTTCAGGTGATTCAACTTCTTCATTCTTCTTAACTCAATCAAATTTATCATCCTTTTCTTATTCTAACGCTACCATTTTGTTTTCATAAAGCGCGTGTTCCGTAATTATGACCCCATTCTTCGTCCTCAAGAGAAAGCTCTTGAATATCAACGTGCTCTTAATGCAGTCAAGTTGGACAAGGTCAGAAATTTTTTCCCTTTGGTGTTTTTATGTGATTTGTATTTGTGCTAATGTTTGTTGGTTTGTTACTGATTTTCAATTTTTTTGGTGAAGAACCCTAGTCAGTTGAAACTGATTTTCTCTGGTTCAATGGATGGAGGTACTTCAATCTTCTCTACCTAGGTTCTTTTTAGATATACATAGCTTAATTATGTGATTATATATAAGTTGTTTCTATAACAAAAGATATAATACAGTTAAACTGTTTTGATGTAAGCATACGTTGTTTTCATAAGCTATTTTGGATAGCTTATAGAAATAAGCTGAAAATAGGCTATGAAACTTGTTCAAAAGTTGTTTTTCTAAGCTCTTCAACTCAATTTTACTAGTGCTAGTATCAGTTGATGAGCTCACAATAAGTTATTCTTTTGGATTGGTTTAAAAGAATATTTGAAGTGAATTAGAATGGTTATGATTATGGTAATGGTAATGATGAATTGAGAAAGTTTGGAAGAGTGATGGGTTGGTTGATACAGTAAAAGCTTGTTGTGATACAAATACCAATACTGGCCCAAACCCGTGTTTTATTGATGGTTTTTCAATAGATCTACTAGGACTCCTCTAGCTATTTGTAGCTACCCTTTGGTCACGACAATACTTTTCTAGAGACGATACAGCAGCTACAATTTTGAAACTATATTTAGGAAGAAGTTAAATAAGAGAATGGAATAGTGTTGCATCCCAAAATTTGCCCTCTCATTTCTCAAAGAATCACCTTGGATCCTCAAGTTTGCTTTCAAGCCTTGAACTATAAGTTTTCCAAGAAAATCACTCACAAGGGCAAAATGGTCATTTACACACTGAAAAGTCAAACTTTGACTTTTGGATCAAAATCAAATTTCAAGAATCATATTTCATCAAGACATGTTGAAATATGAAGTTTGTTTCATCAAGAAATTCAAAAGTCAAAAGTTACTTTGGAAAAGTCAAATTTCTAAATACTTAGAATTTTTCTAAGTGTTTAAGAAATATGACAAGCTCAGAACTTCTGATCAGATTATCACATAAGCAGCTCGTGGACAACAACACTACCAACCAGCGCATAAAAAGACACTTTTTGTAACACTCATAAAGTAAAAATATGCGACAATTTCACACAAACGAAAATAAGAAAACTTACTTTAAAACGCATGCAAATGCCACTTAGTGTTACCAAGACTATGAGTTCTTGTCGGAAAAAGGTGCGAAACTTACTAGAAATGGTGACCGATCACAACCCCACACTTATCTCATTGCTTGTCCTCAAGTGATGTATCGAGACGAAACAAAGGTCACCGACGAGATTCTTTTTCTTCACAACACAATCAGGTTCTTTGCAAAACACCTTCACTTATCAATCGAGTCTATGGCATCCTTCGTCAATCTATCGACCACATTATCACTTCCGAGCACTTGTTCACCTGCAAGCTTTTTCACAGTCTCACAAAATCTCTCCGGGTTAAAGTGTTTACACTCACAGTACCAAGGCATGCACATTACTTTTAACTTTGGAAACATTCTCGAATCACTACACACAAAGATTACACACACATTCAAGAGGTCTTTGGGTTGAAACATGGCTTGGGTTCGGTGGGGTAAACAAGGAATTGAATAACAAAGGGTTTTGGTGCTCGGCATTCATGTTGGTTTCACATATCTACTCTTTGTGGTTTGAATCGTAAGAATGGGGTTAAGACCTTCGACATCTTGTTTTTAGCTTTTTAGAGTCATTCATATGGTCTTTCGGACAAGTGGGCAAGTGTTGCGGAATTTTTCTTTGTTTTGTTTTTCAAACTTTCTCTTTGGATTTTCACAATTTTTTTTTCTTGCCCCTTTCTCAATGGTTCACAACCCCACACTTAGATTCTTTCGTGTATTTCAAGAGAATAACATTAATGCCGAGCGATGATATGAATAGTGAATATGTGGGTGGTAACAAAAATAACAACAATGAACAAAACGAAAATTACGGCTCAAAGGGGGTTGACTATGGACATAATGCATACAGGATGGCTAGAAAGGCTCGGGCTACAGAAAGAAAATTGCCTCAGTGTGTGCTTTCGTAGTGTGCTTGTGTTATGAGAACATACGCAAAATCAAAGTGAATAGTGCCATACCTGACTGAACTCTCATGTGGACTTATGAATTTGACTCTGAAATCTCACCGGGTAGGTTAAGCTTACATGCTTCGAGGTGCTCTTGGTGTCATGCGGTTTCCTTTCATCTGAAATATACCATACTACTCTCTTGGTTCCGTGTTGATGCTTTGCGTCCTACCTTCTCCTCTTGATTGTGCCAACTTCCGTGGTGCCTGCGAAGATCAAGTATGGGGTGTGTTGTTCAACCACTAGCTATTTGTTTGCTCCCTCCGATTTCTATCAATCACCTGGTAACACCATGACAGCACTGCACCATACAAACTTGAACAAAACCACTTTTTAAAAAAAAACAAAAGTAGTACAAACAAATCAAACAAACTAAACTATGAATTCAAAAACACAAAGCAAAGCAATAAAATAAAATAGAACCTCCCCCACACTTGAACCAAACATTGGCCTCAATGTTTTAATTCACATGTGACGGAGATTACCTGGCTTACTGATACTGCGGTGGAGGAGGAGGATCCTGTGGAAAGTGCAACATAAGACGTCGCATCATATCCTGGACATCGTCCACCACAGTTCCTTGTCGAAACAGCTCAACACTTTGTCTGGACTGCTCGGTACGGAGAGCAGTAATCTCTGTTTGTACCCACCCCCATTGATCTGGAGTCATGGAGGACGACCCAGCATATTGTTGGCCGCACTGCTGAGGAGGTGGGACAGGGTGGTCCGGATCTGGAGTGTCATCCTCCATTTCGTCACCTGCAAAATTATGAGCATGTGGGGGGCTTTGCCCCATAGATGTACATGTAGCTACATATAACCAGTTAGCAGGATTTGCAACAGAAATACAATTGGGTGCGCGTAGTGCCATAATATGTTGCTCATGACAAATCAGGGAGTAGTACCCCGGCTGAACCACAATCATCCTTTGATTGACAAGAGTTGTCATGTCAATCTTTTTACCCGGTATCGAGGGTTCCTCTATCAAAAGCTGACTATA